GTCATTATTATATATATGGTTAATAAGGCAGGTTACAGGTATGTGGGTGAGTCCTCTGTTAAACCCGGCGATCGGCAACCCAAATAACAACAAGAGACATTTGATTTTCGAATTCGGCAAACAATTCAATATTATCACGAAGAGACTTTCAATAGCCGCATGCCGCTCCGCAGGTTGCCGATCCCCTGCGTTAAACGAACGTCGGAATATAGGTAGGCAGGTTACGTCAGTAGGTGATACAGTGTCAAGATAGCTGGATAGATGACGGATACTAAGAGTGTGACTGCTGGTATAAGTTAAGAGTTGAAATCTGAAGTTAGGGCGTGGAAGCCAACAGATGTCTCGACTTGCTCAGAGGTCGGCTCGGGTAAGGTCGGGCATCTCGCTTACGACAACGAGGCCCCGTGGCCCACGTAACCAAAACTAAATAATGTTTAACAAAAAAATATTTTACCAAGTAAGGCCCACTGAGCTATACAGCTCTATTTCAGAAGCGACCTGGCTATCGCAAATGATTGCTCAACCAAGTAAGTGGCTTATCACGGGGGAAATGTATGGCAGTAGCCAAATTTCTCGAAACGCGTGATGTTGATTCTAAATGTGAAGGGGAAAACCGGAGGACTCGGAGAAAAAATCCACGCGACCACGGGGGGAGAGAGAGACACGCAAACTCCAAATATACAGCAGGCGTCAGGGTCGTGGTCGAACCCACGCCCTCCTGCACACCAGGCGAGGGAGTTAACATCTCATACCCACCGCGGCGCCCAGCCCCTTCTGTGTTGTGGTCGGCCGCTGTAATAAGTTCTGTGGAGTGGGAAAGCGGAGCCGGGTCGGGCCTGCGCGAGTCCAATTCTCGCCCGAGCAGGTCCGCTTCCTTGTTCGTGGTCGTGGGAACGTGGCATGAGAGGGAGGATGGGGGGGGGGGAAGGTGGCAGGGGTGGGGGTACTTTGGGCCGGGGCTGGATCGGGTGGGTGGATTTGAAATGCGTGCTCATCCGCCTGCCTTTCATCTTCGTTCGCTCCATTTCCATGCAAATGCCCAGCGTCGCACGCGTCTTTGTGTGGGTGTGTGGGGGGGGGTGTTGTTAATACACAGCACTTTTGTCAGTTCCACAGCTGGATGAAAGCCTCATAATGTGTCAGCTATACTTTAGCACGCCAGTGGTCAGGGCAGCTGGGATGAAATGCGACAGGACCGATTGAGACAGCACACTCGCCACTGATGTCAGCCGTGGCCGGGATTCGAACTCATGTCGGCCTGGTTTTGTAGCGCAAGGCGCTAACCATTACGCCACCCCTCAAACCCTTGTGCAACAATTAATATATATTTAATAAATAAAAATAAATAATATGTATTCATAGTGGACGAATCTGATGAGCCTTGAAGCTATCTTTCACAGATGTCCAGTCGGGGCACGGGGTCAGAACGTCACACCAACAAAGCCTCCTCACGACGTGTCAGTCACGGGAGGTTGTTTGACCATACTTCACCACGGCTGGTGAGGAGTGAGGTTCGGTGAAGGTTGGTTGGGATGCGGAGACGTCCAGAGACACTGCTGAGAGGCACCGCTGACATCCTGGGTTTAAAATTTTCGTTTCAGCCCCCCTCCGCCCCCCAACCGTGACTAAGCCGCCTGCTGCGGCGTCGGCACCGCCCCACTAAAAATGAGAGCCAAACCAGTCGCCACTGCTGGCTTCGTTTTTCAACAATTCGACGAAGCCCCCCTCCACCCACCGCTCCTCGTAGGGATGGGACGCCCGGGGCGACCCCCCCCCCCTTGCCCGTCCCCCCCCCGCCCCCCCTGCCCCGCTCCATCCCATGCCACCTTCGTTCTGGCACTGCTTTTGTGCAAAAGCGCAACACAATGGCATCGCGCGAATCAACGCAGCTCGTGAGATATTTGAGTGATTTGAACTTAACGCGATGGATTGGAAAGAATGTCCTCTATTCAATGGGCCCTCTGTACACATTTAATCGAGTAAATGCGATTGCTGTTCTTAAGTGGGTCAGCCTTTATGCATAGACTCTCTATATCGCGACAGCCTATTTCTACAACAATAACAAGATTAATTCCAGCCATTCTCAATCTACAAATGTATAAAAGCCTGCCCATGATGTGTCGGTTATGGAGCACACCCCCCCCCCCCATACTTATCCAGGCTGGTTGGGGAACGGAGGTTTCTGGACCGGTTATGATATCCCTCGCCATTGGTGTTAGCTCCGTCCGTGGTCAGGAATCGAATTCTGGGGTCTCATAGCGTTGCACGCTAACCACCGTGCCACCGCTCCACCACTCTCTCGGTACGCGTATACGTGCGCTTATGTGTGCGTGTGTGTTATGTCAGAACTTGGCCTTTGCCTCCATTAGGTCGACTTAGCCTTAAATGCATACCTGGACAAAGGCGGACGATTTTAACAGGTGCTCGCTATCACCGCTTACTCCAACAGTACAAGCCCATACGTGAATAATGTGTGAATGTGTGTGAGAGAGATGGAGAGAAGTGATACGTCGAATCTGGTAATCATAAGATCTTGGGGGATGGAGCTGTCGTGGAAGAGACCTCCATCCAATAGTGGATAGATAATAGCTCTATGACAATTGTATTGAAAGGTCTATTGTCAAGCATGGCTCACGCTAGACGATCGTTTTTGGTGGCTTACATCCAGCAATCCAGCAGTGGATAGATGATGATGGCTGATGACAGCTGTCGGGGAGTTTTTGCTGGGTTGTTTCCACGTGGGGGGTTTTCAACGCGATGGCAACATGGGAGCGCTCATGCAGCACAACCGCGAGAACGGCAAGGCAAGATGATTTACATTTTGAAATGTTTACGTGGCTGCTGCTGCTGCTGTTGCTGCTACCGATGATGACGACGATGCCGCCGATGACGAATTCTAATTGGCGCACGTGAGACGCCGGTCCACGCGCGCGCACGTGGCATCGCACGTGGTTGCTTTCGCGCGTTACATAAGATTGGTGAATGTGTGAGCGAGCGTGCCCGGGTTGATGGTGACGGTGTTGGGGGTGGGGGGAGAATCAGAGGATGGCGATGCCTCGGGTCAGACGTGAATCTAGAACAGTGGTTCTGAAACTTTCATTGCAGACTTGCACCACTTTGGTTCGTAATCGTATTTTTTTTATATGTAATGATGTTAATAAATACGTAGATTGTATTAAACAAAGTAGTTGTACTTACGTGCCCGTGCTTCATTTGTGTTTTTTTTCGATTATTTACATAAAAAAAATCTGGCCGTGTCTCGCACCACCAGACATGGCATCTCGCACGCCCAGGGGATGCGTGCTCTCCAGGCGAAGAAGAACCCACTGGTTTAGAAGAACCACTAGTTTAGAAGAACCACTGGTTAAGACACTTCCCAAGGGGGTGCAAGAGAGGCGGCGGTGGGGGCAGAGAGACAGAGGAGTCCCGAAATGTCAAGCTTTTAAAATATGTCCCTCCATTGATATCGGGCATGTAGAATTAAATAGAGGCTTACATCAAAAAGGTAATCTATTGTGTTTGGTGAATAGCGTTAACATAGCATTTCTCGGCGGGGGGGGGGGGGGGGAGACCTCGCCCCCCGCCCCCCCCCCACAGCCGAGAGACATGACGAGACGTGGCACGGTGCACGGGTGTCACCTGGAAACCATGTCACCTTTGTCACCCGCGACACGTGACACCAGTGACGCGACATGCCGTAGTGGAAGCACGTGGCACGTGTTGCATGGCACCCGCAGGAACACAAGTCGCCCGGAACTGGACACTCGCGACACCTGGAATCGTATCGAGAGACCGTCGCTGTCAATGCCGTTGCCTCCTTCTTAACCGGAGTACCGAACCACACAAACGTGGTTACTTATCTTGTATCGATCCCGGGAGCAATGGTCGACGATGACTGTCAGCTATCTCGGGATGAAGGTACAGTCGACAGTACTCTTCGTTCGGGGAATTGTGGCAAGCGCAGCAGCAGTGATGGGGAATGAATAAACACGTGCTTTGAACGAGTTAAGGACGCAACTGATTTCATCGCCGATTTAATTCTGGCTATCTCTACGCGTGGCCCATCCGCCTCACGCGAGAACAGGCAGAGAGCTACCCCTGTAAAATGACGACCACGACGGTGATAATAACGATTGAGTGACGTACACAATTATGATATCGTATATCTAATTATGGTGATGATGATAACTGATCCGGAGTTGTTGTTTTGTTCGGTTAGGCCATGTGGTAGTTTCATGTCAAAATTCCTGTCATTGGCATAACAGGATCACGTGGCTCAACCGAAATTAACTATTGGTGATGATGATATCTTGTGATGAAGTTTGTGATCTCTTGACTGACATTGATGAATAACCACGCACACGCAAAGTTGTAATCGCCGTGTGAATGATGCTGGGTGGTTTGGTGAGTGATGAGGTGGGGGAGGTGGTGATTGATGGGGGTATGTCTGTATGTTGAACTTCTTCCGCGCCGTACGTAGCCAACCGTGCTAATTGGAAGTGCGGAGTTAGGGGTGAGGGGAGGTGTTGAGCGACCGGGGTGAGGGAGGTGGTGAGAGGAGGTGGTGAGGGATGGGGGTGATGTGGTGGTGTGGGTTCGGTGTGCCGGAGGTTTTGCGCGATGGGATAACAGGTGGTGGTAAGGGAGGAGGTGAGCGATGGGGGGGGGGAGGAGGTGGTGAGGGAGATAGTGAAAGGTGAAGGTGGTGAGTGATGGAGCGAGGGAGGTGGTGAGCTATGGGGTGAGCGATGTGGTGAGGGATTGGTGCTGTTGGTGAGGGAGGGGTGGGCGTGAGGAATGTTGTGAATGATTGAGGAACGTGCACGAGTGAGCGACAAGGCTCGAATGAACGAAGGAGAGAAGGAGAGAAGGGATTTTCCGAAGATCGGTTTCCCATCCCCTCCCTGCCCAGGTTCGTAGCGCAGCGCGCTCACCGCTACACTACCGCTCCCTCCTCCTCCACCCCCCTATACGCCCGCACATCCTCCCTCCCTCCCTCTCTCTCCTGCAACCAACCAACCAACCCCCTCTTTTAGCTGAACACATCGATACGCGAGGAGCTCTCGTGCATCTGGCGCCGGTGCGCAACGATCCTCGCTGATTCCTCTCAATTAAAGCAGCAGCAGTGGCAGCAAGCAGCAGCATCATCATCAGCAGCATCAGCAAACAGCATCATCAGCAGCAGCATCATCAGCAGCAATCATCATCATCAGCAGCAGCAGCATCAGCAAGCAGCAGCATCATCATCATCAGCAAGCAGCATCAGCATCAGCAGCGCTCCGAGCCGACTATGGGCACCGCAGCAGCGCACGGAGCTGCCGCGCGCATGGCGGCGGAGGCGGAGACGCTGGATTTGACGCACATCGCTAAGCATTGATAGTGGGGGGCGCGAGGGATTGGTGGGGGTGCGGCGGCGGGGGGTGTGGGGGGGGCGTAAAGGTGGGTTCACAGATCGCGTCTCGCACCGCACCTGGCGAGAAAAGAGCTCTCCGTGTCTCTCAATCTCTCTCCGTCCGTCCCCCGTCTATCCGTGTCCCCGTGTCTGTGTCTCAGTGTCCCCACCCCCGCCCCCCCCCCCCCCCGTGTCTGTATTGGGCTCAGCCTCTTGTCTCAGTTTCTCTACGTCTTCCCTGTGCGGTATATATCCATCTGCGTGCGTCTCTCTCTCTCTCTCTCCAATGCTGGCTCTCTCTTGCTTTCTCCCTCTCTCTCTCTCTCTCGCTATCTTGCTCTCTCTCGCTCTCCCATCTCTCCAGCGTCGTCGATCCAATGAAAGCGACGCGCTCCTAACGAACGCCCGGAAAACATCGGTCTCATCGATTCCACGAGAGGAGACGATCACGCGATCAGGCTGCGACATTCCCCGTGTATCACGCGCAGTGTTTATCATTACACTTACTATTTACATTCATCAGCACCACCGTCACCATCATCTTCGATATTGTTTACCAACGGCTCTATCATCTTCACCATCATCAGCATCATCTTAATCAACATCAGCATTAACAGCTGCAGCAACACTACAAACGATATCATAGTTATTATCCACACACACTTTTACCATAAACAACACCGGCATCACAATCAGCAGCAGGATCATCTAAGTCAACATCATCCAAATCTGCAGCAGCACCACCATCGCCACGATCATTGTTTTTTTTAATATACATTCTCCATCACCATAAGCAGCAGCTATAAAATCACTACCACCAGCGGCATCATCATCTAACATCTTCAGCACAGCATCATCATCATCGGTGGGCATGCAGAAGCTATTGCATTACAATGACGAGCATATCATGCACGTGGCACGGGTGGCGCGCGTCGAGGGCTCGCGCCGCGGCTATCTCCGCGTCCGCCTCGCCGCCGGCGTCGGACCCGCGCTGCCCGCGCTGCCGCCACTGCCCGGACTGCCCGGGGTCTCGGCCGGCGGGCCCGGTGGCCCGGGTGGGCCAGGCGGGCCCTTGGGAGCACCCGACGGGACGTGCCCGCAGCAGGGCCCGCGGCCGTGGCGCGCGGCGTGGTGCGCGCTCCACCAGAATCTGCTCTTCTGCTTCGAGAGCGAGGGCAGCGCGCGGCCTCACTCCGTCTTCCTCCTGGAGGGCTCCGCGTGCGAGCGGACTCAGCGCCCGGGCCACGAGGAGGAGCAGGAGGAGGAAGACGGTCAGGTGCGAGCCTTGGAACGTCGAGCGTGTGTGTGTGTTTTAGATTAATTGTGTGCGCGTGTGTGTGAGAGAGAGAGAGAGAGAGTTTGTTGATGTGTGCGTAATATTGTCGTACTCATCATCAGCAGCAGAAGTCGTGGGAGTAGCAGCAGAACGGTGGTGATTGATCAAAACTGTGTTCATTATCATCAGCGGCAACAGCAGCAGCATCAGCAATAGCGTCGCTATCATCAGACGCAACAGCAGAAGCAGCGACATCCCCATCATCTTCAGTGGCAGCAGCAAGACCCACGACTATTATAATTACGTATATTCTTCATCATAATCATCGGCAGCAGTTGCGTCAACAGCGTCATTGTTATCAGCAGTACCACCATCATCATTGTTCACCACCATTAGCAGCAAAAACATAATCACGGGCAGCATTATCAGCAGCACCGTTATTATCATCCGTAGCAGCAGTAAGATCAACAGCAGCAACAAAAGAAACAGTATTATCAGTTGAAGAAAAATCATCACCAGCCAGCGGTGACATAATCAGGAGCAGCTTGATCAGCATCATTAGCAGCAACAGCATCATCAGCAGACACAGCATAACGCTGCATATGAAGAAGTCTTTGCATCCTGTGCGGTATTAATCCGGAGAAAGCCCCAACACGCATACGAGAGGAGAGCACTCAAAGATCCGCACAGACGGGTTCACGAATCCCACTCGCTGTAGCGCCATCTCCTGGTCACCTTGCGGCCCATCTGTAGTATATGCAAAGCATTGCAACATCACACTGAGCTCACGGTCTGCATCGGGAAATGTTTGCGATGCCAGCGGTGTTTATCATTTTACTTTCAACCAGAAAATGCCTCACCGAGTCTCGGGAGTGTGAAATCAATGTATTCATTTCTTTTTGAGAGGGTCCTGCATTGAGATGTTTTTGCCAATTATTTTATTTTTTCTTCATCTCGGAGGAAGCTGAAGAAACCTCGCACAGAGCCAGCCTCGCCACGCATCCGAGGCGGGGGGGGGGGGAGAAGCAAATAAATAAATAGAATGGTTATGGGTCTGCAACTGAATGGCAGCCAGAGAGGACGTCGTCTGGCGTGGAGATGGAGCGATGGAATCAGCTTGTATGCAGGTGCTCGGTGGATTATAATCACATGGCAGGAACGTGAGAGTCTGCGAAGGCTAAGGGAGGGAGGCCGTCATCGATGTATCATTGGATTGATCATCGCTGCCGCTGCTGATCGTTATGATGGGCCTGCTATGTAATACTATAGCTCCGATTAGCACGGTTGGCTGCGTATGGTGCGAAAGAAGTTCAAAATACAGCACTACTCGTGATGGTGGGTGTGTGTGGTGGATCCCACGCCATGTGCGGGGACTACAAGGGTGAAGTATGGCTTACAATGGAGGTGGTTATCACGAGATGTCATCACCGTTTGATGTCGATGTAACGAGGGAAGAGTACAAACGAGCGTGCCAATAGAGCGACGTGAAGTCTGCATCAGCAGCAGCAGGGTAATCAGCAGCATTATTATCATCAGCAGCAGATTCAGTATCACCTATAGCACCATAATTATCATCATCAGCAGCAGCATAAATATCATAAACACTCTTCATCAGCATCAGTATCTCCACCTGTAACGCCATTCCCATCATCATGAATATTATCAACAATCTTTGTCATCAACGGCATTATGATCATTATTAACCACGTAATTGTAACGTTTGAATCGTATTTGACTTGATGTCGCCATAACCATCACCACTATCAACATAAATCACACCAACCATTATCAGTATAATTTACAGCACCACTACCACCACCGTCACTATCACAATCATAAACAACGATACCAACATCGGCGTCGATAACACCACCACCACCACACTACCAACATCATCAGAATCAGTGACCATCACTATTACCATCTTCAGCATCAAAACCATCATTGGCATCACCACTACCACCACCACCACCACTATCAGCAGCATCATCACCATCAGCAACATCACCGCCATCAGCAGCATCACCATCATCATCATCACCTGTGCGGTTTTCTAGGAAATTCCGCAGCCACAAGGAATTGTATTGGTTAACTAAACCATAGCGGTTGTTTCCAACAAAAAAAACCCACCCGTGACGTCTTGGAAAATAATATTATTATTGTTCGTGTGAAGGTGCGAGATAAATAAGTCTACCTCAGCATCGTGAGAAGTGGCGGCGGGCGGCTTGGGGAGGCCTTCATCCAGCAGTGGATTGATCATGGCGGCGCTGCTGTTGCTGCTGATAATGATGACCGTGTCAACGTAGCCTTCAAACAACACAAACGTGTCTAAAAAAAACCCCAGCCATTTGTGCATTTTGCACACACAAAAAAAAACGACGAGCATTTCCTTAACAAATGCATTCTGGTCCTTCTTGTCTTAGATCAACATCAACATGCATTGGAGCAAATGTGACTCCGGCTGAGTGATGCATTTATAGACGACGGTGGATCGGTTCCATGTCCAGTCGGACTCATCAGCACAGCATAGTCACATCCGCACTGCGATGGGCTTTGTCGTCGTCATTTTACGTAGCTGCATACAACTTCATAGCTCATCGGATTCCTCCAGTCTAAATGAAGATCATGATGTCTTTCTCTCTCTCCTGGTTAACCAAAGGACGTAAAAAAACTCGTGGTTAGCCCACGTACGCCAGGATAACGTAGTCGGACTCGGTTCAAATACGAATCAAGCCGTTATTCGCTGCACGCGCCCGATGATTATTAAACGCGCGCCACCTGCCCTGGATATCGCTGCTTAATTGTCATTCAATAATTAGCCGAGATATGCATGTCCTTTTATGTTCTGCCCCCCCCCCCCCAGCTGTGTCCCTCCAGTTGTTGTTGTTGTTTGGGGAACCTGTTGTGAGGACTGTTTGTTTTGCTCATTTTGCGGCAGTCTTTGTTGACTTGTAATATAATTTCCTGTAGTTTAGTCTCACGGCTGTTTTGCTGACGATAAGACCTTCTACTCTAAGACCTTTTTGGGGGGGGGGGGGGCGCCTTGGTGGCGAGATGTGAACTCCCTCGCCTGGTATGCAGGAGGTCGTGGGTTCGATCCGAATACTGACACCTGCTGCTTATTAGGAGTTTTAATGTTCTCCCCCGTGGTAGTCTGGGTTTTAATCTGGCTCCTGCGGTTCTTGCCTCCACATTTAGAAGCATGCTTTTGGAGTATTTCGCCGTGAAGAATGTCCACGTCATAAGCCATTTCGTTGAGCTAGAATTTGTGACCAGGTCGCTTCTGAAAAGGAGCTATGGAGCTCTCGGTGGGCCTTCTAACATGGTAAAAGAAAAGAAAATTGTTTAAATATTAAAGATTTTACCCCTGACGCACCACGAGAAAGGGGAGTAGAGTCAATGAAAAAAACGAATGGAAACAGAGACAGGAAGGGAAGAGGGGAAGGAGGAATGCCGGGACGGAAGTTCCCGAGACGGACAAAGAGGAGGGAAGAGCACAGCTCGAGATGAGCAGCAAGGGAGACTGGAGGAGGAGGATGAGCGGCGGTGATGCAGGGAGAGGGGGAGGATGATGAGAGGGGAGAGACTAGAGGGAGAATGAAGGAATGAGCTGCATGGAGCAGCGTCTGTTTTATCAGGGGGCGGAGAGAGGGGGTGGGGAGGGTTTATCGTGGGGGTGGCCAGACACAAGTCACGTGATTTATATATAAATTATTTTAAGATAAAAATCACGGAAGGCTCGAGTTGATTTAGAAATACAATGTCGACGTCTTCTCATTTCGGGTCACATTGGTCAACAAAACAAAACAAAAAAGAGCCCTCCGTGTTAAACTGGCGGTGCGCGCGAGTTAAAACGCACGAGCCAATTCACACGAGACGTAACCACGACGGTGGAAAAGCGAAGCGAAAAGACTCGACTCGAGAATTGCGACCACGCGCAATGCAATCGCGAGTAGTGGGATAATTGTTGCACGCCGAGAGAGAGAGGGGAATCTCTGCACTCGTTCCCTCCGCGCGCGCGTGTGGAGGGAACGCCGCAAGATTGGGTTGCCTGCCACCCACACGCGACCTCGCTTCCTCCTTGTTCGTGTGTGTGTTTTTTTGCGCCATCTTGCCCGTGGTCTTCCCCCAGCGCCATCACCCACGGTACTTCTTAATTTAGCAACGTGCTTCGTGTCGCTGAGCGTGGCTCGCCACCCCCCTCTTTCCGACTCTCACGTTCACCCAGTAACACTGGGACGTGGAACGATGCTGGGCCCCTTACGCTTTGGTAAACACAGAAAAGACAAAGGTCCCCGGTACAGCCTTATCAGACTTTTGGGACAAGTGCTGTTATCGAGCAGCACCGAAAAAGGCCGGCCCGCGACGCACGATGGGGTTGGGTGGCCAGCACCACGCCCGGCCGCCTTTGTGTCCCAAGTGGCGAAGTATTTACACACCGCACTAGGGTACTCATTGGAGCCTGAGTCGACCTAGGGGAGGCCCAGAACCGGTTCAGATAATCGTCACTGGCGTTGGTGGCCGCGAGTGGGTGTCGAACTCAGGTGGCCGGGCGCAGCGCCACCGCAAGACCGCACTTTCCACACACACAGAGACCTCCGTCACTTCTGTCACTGCAAGAGGGCCCTGATTAGTTACAGACGAGACTGAGCGATTTACAATTAGCAGAGAGAGAGAGGGGGGGGGGGGTTGCCAGGTCCAACATATTCCTTGAACGTTTCCAGCGACGGGATTCATGATCGTCTGGGGGCCGTTTCGAAGCGGTGGAAGTGCCATGGCGCTCTGCGTGGGCCCGCGGAGCGTACGGAACGAAAGTCGCGGGCCGGCCACAGCCCGCGGGGTCGTAGGGACTCGCCCACTGCTCGCCCGGGGACACGAAACGTCGGACATGTTTGTCTGTTCCCTCTGTGCGCACCGCGCTAATCGTTCAAGCAGAATTGACGCGATGCTATTTATTCCCAACAACTCCGCTACGCACCCCTCCCCCCGCCCACTCCATATCCACCACCACCACCCCCAATATTCTCAAGCCACCCATGGTGGATAATTAATAGTCGGGATTGATGACTGCCTGCCTGCCTAACCACCACCCCCTACTACCAGACTAACCTCGTATGTAACCCCCCCTCTCCCATCACCCCCGCTCCCTCTCTCTCCTCCACACTCCACCTCCCACACGAACGCCCCCCGCCTTTTTGACTCGGGTGGCTGTGACGTTTAAAGATCAGAGCGCGCGCGTGTGTGGGTAGCAGGGCGTAATAAGAAGATGGGGCTTTCCCCGGTGAACACGTGTTCGCCGCTACCGGAGATGTCACGGATGCGTATATTCGTAATCTATCAGCGTCGATTATTTAGGCTCGCCACGCGCGCGCGGATCTAATAATTATCGACCGTTGTGGCTGCTACGTTTTTCCAAAGTTAATCGAATCGCCGTGGCTGGGGATATATCAGAAACCGAGCGGGGTTTGACTTGCAGGTTTATTTTTATTTTTGGATGGAAGACCGTAAATATCACCTGTCGTAGGCTTGAGCTGGCACAGCAATGGGTTATTGAGTCTGTCTGTGCGGAGCTGTCGAGTATGCGGGGGATTTCTTCGGCAACGCTGGTTTCCTTCCACACGAAGCCCAACGCAACGCGGCGCTGGTGCACTTTTGAGGCCACGCGTCGTGTCGAAGGCTCGCAGACAGGTCAGGGAACAGCGTAGGTTGAACTGACTGAGATGACTGGCAGATGCATCACCTGTGCCCCCCCCCCCACAGTGCCGACTTTGCTGGCTTTTATCCGCCCGTCGCTCCATAGCCCTCTCACTGCTTCCAAAGCTGCCCAATAGCGCCCTTCACGAGCCGCCTCCACAGAGGCCGATCTTGACACCGCTGGTGCCAGTTATCGACATGTCCACTCGGCTCCACAGATTTCTCTACCGCATCAGCGCACATCGCTTCCTAGACCAGTGCCGTGTCCGATTAGCGGCCAAATGTAAGCTGTGGGTGGGTTTGAGGGTTACATGACCCAGCCTCGCCTGCCATTAGGAGCTCACCGATGAGACTGTCACACCCACACACAAAGACAAATAAACCTCGTATAGTCTCACAGACAGTTGTGGAAAGTGCCGTTAACGAGCACCTATGAAGGCCGGCACGGCACACGAGGGAGTGGGTGGCCAGCACCACGCCTGACCGCTTTTGTCTCCCTAGTGGCGATGTGTACACACATGCACCAGGTACTCATTTGAGGCCGAGTCGACCTAGGGGAGCCCCAGGACCGGTTCAAATATTCGCCACTGGTGTTGGCCGTGAGCGGGAATCGAACTCGGGCAGCCTGGTTAGTAGTGGAGCGCGTTAACCACCGCTCCCCCCACCCCACACACACACGCGCGCACACCTACACTCACCTAGACCCACCACACAACCCATTCGCATGCCGTGTAATGCCGCAGAGTTGTGACGCGTGCCCCCCCCCCCCCTGCCCGCTATAGACTGCGATTTTGGGGTGGGGGGCTACATGAAGACGCATGTCGCGGGGTATTTATTTATTTATTTAGGACCTGCCGAGACCGCGTTACCCGAGTCCCGCGCGAGATCGATGGAGGCGCAGGGGGCCACGGAGGCCACGGAAAAACCCGCGGCAGCTCGAACGTGCAAGCTGCTATTTCGCCAAAAAAAGCCCATTGCTTGGACGAGGGGGCCTTCTCCCGCAACCCGCCGCCCCACGCCGTGTCGGTCATGGGTTCTTCAACAACCATACTTCACCACTGCTGGTCAAGTGCGCGCCTGGTGAAGGCGGGCGCATAGACGTGGGAAGCATAGTAGTACAGCACAACGATGTATATTTGCTGCACTCTGGCCACTTGGCTGACAACGTTGCTCCAGCAGCATGCCTTCCAGATTGCATGGCGGTCACCCATCCGAGCATTAAACATCCAGGCTCACCCCCAGCCTGCTTAGCTTGAGATCTGGTCAGATCGGGCGCATTCCGGATGATTTGGCCACCTGCTTAGCTTGAGAGATCTGGCCAGATCGGGCGCATTCCGGATGATTTGGCCACCAGGCTCAGGGCTTAACTTTAGACGGGTAAAAAAAAATGATATGTTGTCTCCGTGCGGCACACCACGTCCTGTATACCTCGTCCCGCTAAAGCCAGGCTGGGGCTACTACTTCAGTTGTCACGTGCCACCGGATCATATTCAAGTGTGAAATTCAGACAGCACAGTTATAAGCTCTCTCTCTCTCGAGAAAAAAAACCAAACCCCATCAACAACACAAGCACATCTATTGCAAGCGAAACTAAATGACGGCAGCCGTCAATTGATTTAGCCCAAGTCAATGGCTTTTGTCAAGTTATTTCGGGGGAATGTATTTTGTGTTGTTGTTGATATCTCAGCTGCTCGGTGCTCGGGCATTCCTCAAATTCCGAGACGCGCCCGTGGTTACAGCCCCGATCGATACAAAGCAGCAGCACCTCCCCCCCCACTGTGCGTGCGCAGAGATCTCGGCTGTCTCCGTAAAGACAAAGATCCCCCGTGTAGCCTTAACAGACTGTTTGCGGCAAGTTGCTCTTGGTGAGCACCTTCCATGAAGGCCGTGACACGGGTGAGCGCGCACGAGGAGGGACGTGGGTGACGAGACACTCACCTCACCTCAGGGACCGGGTATAGGACTCGCTTGAGGCTGAGTCGACCTAAGGGGACAGAGGCCCAAAAAGGGTGAAGATAATCGCCACTGGCGTTGGCCGCGAGCGTGAATCGAACTCTGTGTTCGCAGTGAAGTGCGCTAACCACGACGCCACCGCTCCCCATCCTGTATAAACCACGACCGGCACACACGATTAACCTCTCCCCTCTCCATCATCCCACAGTGATTCCGTGATTGTATTATCCGGTCCCCGTGATTTGTAGTGTAGTCTCCAACTCGTATTCGCTGTATCCGTCTGACGCCTCGATTCGTGTGCAATGAACCAGGAGCATTGGTCCCAAAACGTGGCCCCGTTATTTTTACCCTTTTATTTTTAAAGAAGACAGCGTCAATTGAGGTACGTGTTGAGATTTGTTTTGTTATTGTATGTGCTTGTGAACCACTAGCAATGCAGCACCACCACCATATCGTTCGATGATTATCTTGTCTTGTTCGTAGCTGTTGTAGTTTCAATTTAAGTAATCGGTTATTCGCTCAACGATGATTCCATTGCCGCAGTGTGTCACCTTTGGGCCATCACCAGGCCACATGCTGCAGGTGCGCACCGTAACCCCTGGCTCGCGGTTCTCTCTCAAGCTCACCACCACCACCACCCATCACCTCACCCTCTTTCCTTGCCTTACCGCTCACCCCGAGGCAGCTGGAGCTGGTGGTTCGGTTCGGGCCCGACGGCCAGGGCGCACTGCACCTGCGGGCCCTGGACGAGGGAGACCGGGACGCGTGGGTGGCTGCCATCTCGCGGTGCAGGTGGGCGGGAGATGGACACTCACCTCACGGACACTCACCTCACGGACACTCACCTCACGAACACTCACCTCATGGACACTCACCTCATGGACACTCACCTCATGGACACTCACCTCATGGACACTCACCTCACCTCATGGACAATCACCTCATGGAAACTCACCTCATGGACACTCACCTCACCTCATGGACACTCACCTCATGGAAACTCACCTCATGGACACTCACCTCATGGACACTCACCTCACCTCATAGACACTCACCTCACGAACACTCACCTCACCTCACGGACACTCACCTCATGGACACTCACCTCACCTCATGGACACTCACCTCACCTCACCGACACTCACCTCATGGACACTCACCTCATGGACACTCACCTCACGAACACTCACCTCACCTCATGGACACTCACCTCATGGACACTCACCTCACCTCACGGACAGTCACCTCATGGACACTCACCTCACCTCATGGACACTCACCTCATGGACACTCACCTCACCTCATGGACACTCACCTCACCTCATAGACACTCACCTCATGGACACTCACCTCACCTCATGGACACTCACCTCACCTCATGGACACTCACCTCACCTCATAGACACTCACGTCATGGACACTCACCTCACATCACCTCATGGACACTCACCTCACCTCATGGACACTCACCTCACCTCATAGACACTCACCTCATGGACACTCACCTCACCTCATGGACACTCACCTCACCTCATGGACACTCACCTCACCTCATGGACACTCACGTCATGGACACTCACCTCACATCACCTCATGGACACTCACCTCACCTCACGGACACTCACCTCACCTCACGGACACTCACCTCACCTGACGGACCCTCACCTCACGGATACTCACCTCACGGACACTCACCTCACCGACACTCACCTCACCGACACTCACCTAACCTCACGGATTCTTACCTCACAGACCCTCAACATCACAGATCTTCACCGCACAGAACCTCACCTCACGGATCCTCCCCTGCCCCCCTCCCTTGCCACCCCCGCCCCTCCCCCTTCCCCCCTCCCCCTTCCCCCCCTCTGCCCCGCCGCTCCCCTACCCCCCCGCCCCTGCCAAACCCTCACCCCGTCCCTCCCAACTGGCCCCTCCCCCCGCCCCCCTCCCCTACCTCCCCTACCCCCCTCCCCCCGCTCCCCCGCCCCCCTCCCCTACCCCCCCTAACCCCCCCCCTCGCCCAGCTACGAGTCGGTACGTGCGGAGCGGGACCGCGCGCTCCACAAGTACCAGCGGCTGCTGCGCCTCGCTGAGGCCGAGAAGGCCCTCGGGGCGAGCATCCACGAGCACCTGGACGAGCAGGAGAGCGAGGCCGACAAGCTGAGGGCCGAGGTGAGGGAGGTGAGGGCCGAGGAGGTGAGGGAGGTGAGGGCCGAGGAGGTGAGGGAAGGGGTGGAGGAGGTGAGGGAGGTGAGGGCCGAGCGGTGAGGGGGGTGAGGGAGGTGATGGCGGCACGGGGTACACTTTAAGCAAACCCAGCAATCTCAAGCGATGTGGTTTTGGGGTTGCCGCACGTACGCGTTGCCCGGTATGTTGCCCTAACAGCACGCGGTGCAACCCCCAACAACATCGTGTTGATGATGTTGTTGATGATGCTCATGATGAACCTGATCCTGATGCTACTGAATATGCTGCCGATGATAATGATGCTGTTCCTGCTGCTCATAATTCTGCCGCCGATGATGCTGCTGCTCATGACGCTGCTTCCGATTATGATAGTTCCATAGTTCCATAGTTCATTAATTAGGTATAGCCCTGTGAGCCATTCGGCTCTTGAATCGGGTGCAACTGCAACAAACAAAAACATGAACAAGAAAACATCTTAAAGTGATAATGTGACTGTGCAAACAGAAAATCCAGGAAAAAAACATCAAAATATTCCGGAAATAGCACCGTACACCAACGCTGTGTGCAAAAATCCCAGTGGGATGCAATTCAAACAACAACAACAACCACAAGACAACTAAGATTAAGGCCATCAGTCTAACTCCGTACTACAATAAACAAAAACATAGCCAAAACAAAAAAAAACGTTTTCGAAATCACCAAAATAAAAGCCATAAATGCAATGTAACAGTGATCATAGGGACTGTGACCGATTTTTTTACAATAAACTACATAAATAAATGATAACACCAAAATCTAGAGCCATATTTTAGGCCACTGAATAGCAGTGGCAGCTAGGGGTGTACAACTCTTCTAGAGCAGTTTTGAGTGAAGATCTCATGATGTTGCTGCTGATGATGCTGCTGCTGCCGCTGCTGTTGCAGATAATGATGTTGCTGCCGCTGTTGCTGATGGTGTGCTGGTGGCCTGGCAGGTGGTGAGCCTCAACAGGAGCAAGGAGCGCTTGTACGCGGTCGGTGAGGACAGCGACGATGAGGATGAAGACCCCGACATCCGGAAGATCAAGAAGGTGACCACGGCAGCGAGACGCTCCTACGGGGACCACACCCCCTCTAGAAGCGGTGGTTCTCTCAGTCTTTCTTTTTTACATAAATAAAAATAAATTAGACGGACGTTCTGCATGCGTGACGTTATTTGTTCTTGCTCGCTGGTAAGTCCTCAAAACGGCGTTGTTTACGATCGCTGAGTTTAGAAATGTCTTTTACATTGTTCCAGGCTACCATACGGATTAAAATGTTATCGTAGTTATTTTACACATTTGCAGATTCACACGTCAGTATTCACCAACGACTCACACGTACGATATACTTTCACACGTTTATAAATCACCTGACGTGTACCCCCTGGGACATTGCTGCGTACCCCCAGGGGGCCCGCCTCGCACTCCCCGGGTTGAGATACCACTTTTTTAGAACACCGGGGCCACTTGGCAGCATGGAAAGCAAAGCACGGACTAGCCCAGCAGCCCCAATTACTATCCCTACCCCTAACCAACTCCCCAAACAGCAGCCACTTTGTACTCTCTGACCATCAAGATCAAGATCTCATCTTGGCCAAAGCCACGATTCCTATCTCCATCGCTAACCTCACTTCTGAAAGTTTGGCAAGCCTCCTTTTAATTTTTTGTTTAAATCAAAATTTCAGACGACTCCCCTTGGCCCCCCCTATCCCCCTACCACACCACCCCACTCCACCCCACCACCGCCTTCCCCACCAACCACCCCCCGCGCCCTCCTCCACCGCAGGTCCAGAGCTTCCTGCGCGGTTGGCTGTGCCGGCGCAAGTGGAAGGCGATCGTGCAGGACTACATCCGCTCCCCGCAGGCCGAGTCGCGGCGCAAGCGCAACCAGCTGGTGTTCTCCATGCTGGAGGCCGAGGGCGAGTACGTGGCGCAGCTGCGCGTCCTGGTCACGGGCTTCCTGCGCCCGCTGCGCATGGCCGCCAGCTCCAAGCGCCCGCCCATCTGCCACGACGACGTCAGCGCCGTCTTCCTCAACAGGTAGCCGCCGGCCTGCTGCACCACCGCTCGTGGGGAGCGGTGGTGCAGCGGTGAGCGCGCGCTGCGCCGCGAACCCGGCGACCCGGGTTCGGTTCTCGCTCACGGCGAACACCGGTGGCGATTATCTGGATCGGTCATGGGCTTCCCCCTCGGACGACGCAAGCCTCAAATGAGTACCTGGTGCGGTGTGCAAACATCGCCACCGGGGAGACAAAGGCGGTCGGGCGTGGTGCTGGCCACACAACCACTCGTCTGCCGTTCCGGCCTTCATAGGTGCTCGCAAACAGCACTTGCCCCTACAGTGTGTTAAGGCTATACGGGGGGATCTTTGTTTGTGCGCGCTTGTATGTAAATATCGCCACTTGGGGAGACAAAGGCGGCCAGGCACGGTGCTTGCCACCTACATCCTTTGTGCGCCATGCCGGCCTTCATAGGTGCTGGGTAACAGCACTTGCCGTAACAGTCTGGTAAGGCTATACAGGGGATATTTGTCTTTGTGTGTGTGTGTGCATACGTACGTGAGTGTGCGTATGTGTACATACGTGTGATTCTGTATACGCGTGCGTACGTGTGCGTGCGCGTGTGCATGTACGTGGCGTGCCGGGTTGTTGGTAGTGCGAGCCGACCCGATTGTTGGCGTATGCGTTGGCGTTCTTGGTGGTTCTGCTGATGCTGCCAGTGACTCAATCCCCGCGTCCCCCACCCCGTCTCCACTCCAGCGAGACCATCATGTTCCTGCATCAGATCTTCCACCAGGGCCTGAAGGCTCGCATCGCCAGCTGGCCCACCATTGTCCTAGGTGAGACACCCCTCAGCACTTCTTATCCCAGCTCCTCACTCATCTGCATCTCAAACTATCCAACGACCGTTTTCCGGCTTGATTTGTTGTTGATGCTTTTGTGAATTGTGTTCTGGGAATCATCATCATAGGCCACGATCTATCCACTGCTGGATTAAGGCTCCCCCCCCTCCTCCTCTTCCTCCGACCCCTCGGCCTGACAGCGGACCTGTTTGACATGCTGCTGCCCATGCTGAACATCTACCAGGAGTTTGTGCGGAACCACCAGTTCAGCCTGCAGGTGCTCGCCAACTGCAAGCAGAACCGCGAGTTCGACAAGCTGCTCAAGCAGTACGAGAGCCGCGCCGAGTGCGAGGAGCGGACCCTGGAGACTTTCCTCACCTTCCCCATGTACCAGGTGAGGAGCGGTGAGGAGTAGTGAGCGGAGCCTCGTGCACCCAGCGTTATGATCGGGGTAGACGACGCGGTCCGTCCGTCCATCGACAGGTTAAAATATCGCCACGGTGGCGAGATGTTAACTCCCTCGGCTGGTATGGAGGAGGTTGTGGGTTCGATTCCGAACCTGATGCCTGTATATTTGGAGTTTGTATGTCTCTCTCTCTCTCTCTCCCTGTGATCGCGTAGATTTTTCTCTGGGTCCTCCGGTTTTCTCTCAATATTTAGAAACATGCTATTTAGAGTATTTGGCTACTGCTATAAGTTTCTACATGATAAGTCACTTCATCCAGCTATAATTTTTGGCCAGGTCACTTCTGAAAATAGCTATATAGCTCAGTGGGCCTTAACTGGTAAAATAAAGAAATGTTAGTTTTAAATAGTTTCAAGTATTTACTCCCACCTCTTCCATGTTGTCTTGCCGGCGTGGAAGAGTTGGTCAAATACCCTCTAGAGGACCTCTCTCTAGAGGCCCTTCCAACAGCAGTGGTGTGGGCGAGCAGTTCCAGCACTGCGCTTTTATCTTTGCCTTTTAGTTGTAGGCCAAACTGAAAGCAAAAATAAAAACGGTGATGTCAATATTGTGTAAATGGCCAAAGCCACGATCCCAGCAAGAAGGCCATCCCAGCAGGTGAAAGGTTATCACAATGGCAAGCAAGTAAATTAATGAAAATTAAAAGCTAATTGGCTGAGCGTCTCAAATTTCGGGAGTGAGAGCATGGGGCTTTGCTGTTCTCTTTTAAAGTTGGTTCACTCACGTTTTGAGGCTAACTACCTCGCCTGGTATGCAGGAGATCGTGGGTTCTATTTTGAGCCAGACAATACCTGTGTATTTTGAGTGTGCGTGTTTCTCTCCCCGTGGTCGCGTGGATTTTTCTCCGGGTCCACCGGTTTTTCCCTCCACATTTAGAATCAACGTGCGTTTTGAGTATTTGGCTGCTATACATTTCCACGCGATCAGCCACTTCGTTGAGCTATCAATTGTGACCAGGTCGCTTCTGAAAAAGAGCTACATAGCTCAGTGGGGCCTTACCTGGTCAAATAAAAATAATAGTAGGAATATTATAGTAGGTCAACTGTTGAAATTGTCCCGTAACTTTCCGGCAGTTGTTCCCATTCCAATACGATCCTATTTCTGTACGTGTAGAAACTTGCATGGACACACGACACTTGCACTTCACCAACACGTACGGACATTGGTGCCCATTGCCCCCTTGCACAGGAGGTAATACATCTCGGGGGAATCACACTTTGGGTTTAACTAAAAGGCCATTTGATTTACTGAATCAAAGGGCATTACTGAACTAAAGGGAATAAAAATCCCAGCTACCAAGGTGTGATAATAAGATGCACCAATGCAGCAGATTTATAGAGTGTCATCATTGTCAGCCGCGATCAATCCACTGCTGGATGAAGGTCTCTCCTTGAGCCACCGTTGCCATCCCTCACTGTCCCGCGATGCGGCAGTCCACCGAGCGCCAGAGGTCACGCCGCTCCGACCTCTGCTCCGGGCGTCCTCTCGGGTGCTGTTCCCTCCTTTGGCTGCTGCTCCACTGTTATTCTCACCCAATACATTTTCACGCCATTTGCCACTTCGTTGAGCTATCGTTTGTGATAGCCAGGTCGCTTCTGACAAAAGAGCTATGTAGCTCAGTCGACTTTAACTGGTGAAATAAAAATTGTTCAGTTTAAATAATCGCCGTTGGTCAAGGATAACGACGGAGTGGCAGCCAAACGTGGAGCAAATAGGTCAGCTCGTGTCCAGTAAGCGTGAATGGGTTGTGGTATCGCCGTGAGAGATGGTGACGATGTCTCGTCGGTGCCAACGTCCGGGAGTGGATTGTCCGTGGCCGACGGTGACGATTACCAACTCTTTTGGATACAATCGTGGAGTAACCCTATTATAGGGCGTGCCATTCAATGCGCCTATATAAATAAGCGTTAAAAAAGCAAACGAAACAAATTCTAACCAACAGGATCGCTAACAGCTCCACCGGAGCCAGATTACCCTCTTTACGACTTCACCGCACCTCGCGGCGAGCCCGCTCGCGACCTCATCAAACTCCTCGCTCCCGCATCGCAGGTCGGAGGCGTGGGCCAAGGTCCCGAGACTTCACACCTGGTGGCGAGTGGGGGCTCTGGTTCGCCTGGGGACTGGCTTGGAAGCTGTGCAATTACCGGCGGTGGTCGCTGCCGTGATTTGACCCTAATTTGTGGCGAGCCGAGGGACGCCTCCCCCACCCGCCCCTGCCGGAGCGGTGGCGGTGTTGTCCCAGGGGTGTCCCCCCCCCCCCCCCCCCCCCGTGTTTTGCGTTGGTGGTCGTTCCGTTGTCACCGGCCAGGCTGTGGTGTTGACCAAGCTGGGAAACGGCTCAAGTCTCCACGGGACCCTCGCCAGCTTTACCGTTACTTGTGTGCTCGTTAGTGGGTGCTTTCTGTCAATCCTCGATTGTCTGGGGTAATGGTCGGACGGAATGGCCCAGATGAAACGACATTTACAGAAAATGCGAAACGTACCTGGATTCGATTGTCACTGTGCGTATATTGTTTACCTACGCAGAATAGGGCTGAAGAATTAGACCGTGTAATTATTCTGAAATGCAATATTTCATGTTTTATATTCATATTTTTACAAGCACAGTGAATGCAGAAGCCAGATTATCCGCACGCAGGCGATCGCAAGTGCTAAGTGCATAATATTACAATGAGGCTTTTACTTTGCCTCTCGTTGTCCCAAGGGGATTTCCAGGATAGATTAAATACAAATGGGAAAACATAAAACGAAGGCCATGAATACACACAGCGAACTGGAAAACAGAGCAAAAAAAAATATCGGTGTAAACTGTGAATTGACAAAATCTCAACCTGCACTAAGTAAAAAAAAGAAGATAAAAAGAAAAAAAACCTCTTCAGATAGTAAAATAACTCTTGAGCTATGATCTAATACCATTGTATCATCGCTGCGGATAGATCATGGCTGATGATGATGAAGATGATGATGCCAACGACGATTTTAAGGATATTGCAATTCAGCCGCGCGCCACTGGGCATCTCCAAAGATCACTCCGTTGCCCACTCAATCTCCCTGTCCGTTCAAGCTTTAGAGAGGTCAAGGAGTTATTATTGTTATTGTTAAACCATGCGAAGAGGAACGGCGTTCAAACAAGAAGCGCCGGTTGGTAAAAAAGAGCCACAAGAGGTAATTCCCTTGTTATTCGCGAGGGATACGTTCCGGCCTACGAATTACTTTTAATAAATACCAAAATAAACCATGAAATATGTGATAATTATCCGAATAACACAACAAAATAAAAATGTATCATGATAAACATAAAATTGATAAAAATGTATATTAAAGTATTAAATCATATCATAGTTTATGAATGTAGTCGTGCAGCGTTCCAGATGCCATTCGCGGATAGCCAAAATCGCGGACGGCAAGTTCATGAATAACGAGGGGATGCCGTTGCACCCTGCACGGGCAGGTGAAGTCACGCTGCAGCGAATCGTCTTCAGAATCGGAACACTTATTTTTACTGGAGGAATCCGATGAGCTATCAAGCTCTTTTTCGTCCCCGCAGATCCCGCGCTACATCGTGACGCTGCACGAGCTGCTGGCGCACACCCCGCAGGAGCATGTGGAGCGCCGGAGCCTTGAGTTCGCCAAGTCCAAGCTGGAGGAACTGTCCAGGCGAGTAAAACTAAACGAAGCTTTTTTTTTAATATTCTTAGCTCTTTCGGTAAAGTCACGTTGAAGGGAAACAATAAAATAATAAAATATATATAAAACAATAAAAATTCTCACGACGTTTCGACCATAACACAAACTGTCAACGTGACTTTACCGAAAGAGCTAAGAATATGAATTACTGCAGACACGAAAACTTTTAATCAAAATTGAAGCTTTTTTATTTTTTTACCAGTTAAGGCCCGCTGAGCTATATAGCTCCTTTTTTTTTTCACAAGCACACCCGGCCACCAATGATAGCTCAACGAAGTGGCTTATCACGTGTGAATTTATAGCAGCCAAATGCTCTCAACGCGTGATGTTGATTCTAAATGCGAAAAAAATCGGAGGATCTGAAGGAAAAATCCACGTGACTACGGGTAGAACATGCAAACTCCAAATATACAGGTGTCGGGGTCGGGATTGAACTCACGACTTTCTGCATATATATCAGGCGAGCCGACAGATAACTTTTGGCTGACCATCGAATGACGTTTACCGAATCGTGCGCTTTCAGGTGCACTTTTGCGGCCGTCTGGAATGCTCTTCTGATATTAGGAAGCCACTGGAGCTATGCGCTTTTAAACCATCTAGATTTAAAACAAATTTCTTTAGAACTGATTTTTGTATTTAGTTTGCCGTCCTTGCTCCACACCTCCGATTATCACGGTTTGCTACGTACAGTGCAAAATAAGTTCATCATGCATACATACATAGCGGCCACTGTGTTTGTTGCATTGCGGGCCCGGGAGAGGTTGCAACGGCTTGGGAAGATCATGGCTGATAATAATAATAATAAAGATAATCTTTGCATGCATAGTAGCGTGTGCTTACATTCCCCAGCTGCTCAAAGCGTCTTTCATCGCATCTCATCTCAGTTAGTATCAAAGGGGACCCCCAGTGGCAGGAGAGTCTGCGCAGTACAGTGGTGGAATTTCCACATTCCCATGGTGGGGAGTGTGTCTTTCCATAGGACAACCAGCGTTGACTGGAGGGATGATGGGCCGAGTCAAAACGTCGACCAGAATTTGAATTCGCAACCTCCCCGGTGTGCGAGCCCATTCTATCCCCCGCTGAGCCGTCGTCCTCGGCCGGATGACGCTCACGATTGCTCTCTGCGCAAAACCAATCGCTGTTAATCACGATGACGATGGCGATGGTGATGATGACTCGTGCCCGTCAACACGGACGTTGCGTGCGCAGGATCATCCACGACGAGGTGAGCGAGACGGAAAACATCCGCAAGAACCTCGCCATCGAGCGCATGATCGTGGAGGGCTGTGGCATCCTGCTGGACACGAGCCAGACCTTCGTGAGGCAGGGTGAGTGGTGGGGCAACGCCCCGCGCGCATTATTCCCCCGCGCTGCGGCTTCTTTCTTGTGATGTATTTATAGCGGTGTCGTGTGCCAAGCGAACGTGTGGTTGGATCTGTGTGCCCATCGTTTCTCCTTCATCGTTGACGATTATGATGGCTCTTATGTTGATAGTGACGATGATGATTACGATGATGATGATGACAATGATAATAATGATTGCGATGACGACGACGGTCGTGATGGCGGCGACGATGATAACAATTGTCATGGCTATGATGATCGCGACGATGATAATGATGGTGATGATGATGATGGCGACGATGACGACGATGGCAAAGATGACGACGATCACGACGATGATGATGTTGACGACGACGAGGATGGCGACAACGATGATGACGATCTCTGCTTGCCCAACTCGAGCTCGCGGTGCCGACGCCGGCGTTGACCCTGGCTGTGACGTTGACCCTGTCTGTGACGTTGACCCTGGCTGTGACGTTGACCCTGGCTGTGACGTTGACCCTGGCTGTGACGTTGACCCTGGCTGTGACGTTGACCCACGGGTCGCCCCCCCCTCCCCACCCTCCCTGGCGGCATGCCACAGGCTCCCTGCTGCAGGTGTCCACCGCCGAGAAGGGCCGCATGAGCCGAGGGCGCCTGGGGTCGCTCACGTCGAAGAAGGAGGGCGAGCGGCAGTGCTTCCTCTTCACCAAGCACCTCATCATCTGCACGCGCGCTTCCGGGGGCAAGCTGCACCTTAACAAGGTGGTGGGGGGGGGGGGGGTTGGGGGGTTGTGTGTTCACGTGTGTGTGTGTGAACCGTGTGTGTGATCCGCTTACATGTGTGTGTTTGATTGATTGAGTAATCCGTGTACGTGTGTGTGTGTGTGTGATCCGTGTACGTGTGTGATCCATGTTCGTGTGATCCATGGGTACGTGTGTGATCCATGCGAGTGTGATCCATGGGTACGTGTGTGATCCATGCGAGTGTGTGTGCGTGCGTGTGTTTGGGGTGTGATTCATGCGTGTGTGATTTGGGTGTCTTGAGTGATTCGTGTGTGTGATGTGTGTGATGCGTGTAATTGTGATGCAGCTGTATATAGCTGCTTTGTAAATCCAAATTGTATTGTTTAACTTAATTATAGCGTGTGTACGGATACAAGTGGATATTTTATACACCGCATCTTAACGGCTTTATCGGATATCGTGAGGGTTGCTCAGTGGGCATTCATTGGGCAGAGTAAGGGTCCTGTGTGGGGAGCGGTGGTGTAAGCGGTTAGTGCACGGTACTACGAACCCGGTGAACTGAGTTCAATTCCCGCTCATGAGCACAATAACATTAACGAATGTTTGAACCGGTCCTGGGCCTAACCGAGGTCGACTTAGCCTTAAATGAGTACCTGGTGCGGTCTGTAATTATCGCCATTAGGGAGACAAAGACGGTCAGCCTTAATAGGTGCTCACTAACAGCAATTATCTCAACAGGGGGGAGTGGTGGTGAAGTGGTTAGCGCACTGCGCTAAGAAATTCGACCATTCTCGTGCCGGGGAAGAGTGTATCCATAGGACAACAACTGTTGATTTACCTTCAAAGTGGTTACATATTTTATCTACCCCAGAGGGATGATGGGCAGTCAACCCTTTCCCAGGGGTTGAACTCGCAACCACTGAGCCAGCTGTGTGACAGAGCGCCCTATACTCTGATTTAAATATGATTGCCATTATCATTACATGCAATCTAATTTACACGAAATATTAGAATTAATTATTATTGTTCGAGTGATCATGTGTGTGAGTGTGTCCTCCATCAGAACGGGGGGGTGCTCCCCCTGCTGAATTGCACTCTCCTGGAGGATCTGGAACCTGCAGATGATGAGGGTGAGTGTGGGGTGAGGGGTGAATGGTGAGTGGTGAGTGTTGATGTGTTATGGATGGGAGCAAGGAGTGAAGGGTGAGGGGGGAGGAGTGAGAGGTGAGGGTGGGGAGTAAGGGTTAAGGGGTGAGGAGAGATATTCACAATCAGCAGACATGTAGCTGATCAGTTTAACACGTAGGCTTTCGCGACCATTATTATGAATAATAATAAAGGTTTTTGGGTTAGATCGTGCAAGTATAAATGCGTCGCAACCCTCCACCACCCGACACGGCCAATCAGTAAGAAATGTGTCACGTTAACAAAACGCCAATTATTTACTTCTTCAGCCCACCGATGTGATTGAAGAGTGAATCCACAACATTTACAATTTGAGTAGTATGACGTTTCGCTGGATATTACATCCAGCATCTTCGGGCGATTTGCCAGAATAGTAGCTGATGCCGTGGTAGTCAAACCACTACCAACTCCTCGTGTGCCGTTCCGGCCCTAATCGGTGCTCGCGGGGAGCGGTAGTGTAGGGGTTAGCGTGCTGCACTACGAACCCGGCGTTTCCCGAGTTCGATTCCTGCTCTCGCCCAACACTTGTGACAATTATCCGTACCGGTCCTGGGACTCCCCTAGTTCGACTCGGCCTCAAAACATTGCCTGATGCGGTGTGTAAACATCGCCACTGTGGCGAGACAAAGGCAGCCGTGCGTGGTGCTGCTGGCCACCCACGTCCTCCTCGTGCGCCGTGCTGGCCTTCGTAGGCGCCACTCGCTAACAGCACTTGCCCCAATAGTCTGTTATGGCTACGCGGGGGATCTTTGGCTTTGTAAGTGTGTACGCGCCTACGTCCTCAGCGCGCAGTGCGGTGCAGGACCTGGAATTCCGCTTGGCCATCGAGGCCGGAGACACCCCGCCCTGCATCGTGCTCGTCGCTGCGTCCAGGCAGCAGAAGGCAGCATGGACCAGCGACATCAGCCAGGTGTGTATGTGTGTGTCTAGGTGTGTGCGTGTGTATCTAGGGAGACAAAGGCGGCCGGGCGTGGTGTTGGCCACCTTGTGTGCTGTGCCGGCCTTTATAGGTGCTCGTTAACAGCACTTGCCCCAACAGTCTGTTAAGGCTATACGGGGGATTTGAGTGCCTTCGCGCGCTAACCGCTGCACTACCGCCGCACACGCACGAGCGATGTTTTCCCCGCTGACTCGGGGGAGCGGCTGAGTAAGGAGACGGATGCCACGCCAGCAATGCCGCCAGGAGAGAGCCGACTCTCCCGCTAGTCTCCTCATGCGACAGTGATGGCGCTGGCGGACGGGGGCAGTGAGGAGCGACCAGTGAGCCGTCGAGGATGCTCGCTCTCTGCTGGGGCGACGTCGCCAGTCGCCGTCTCTGTAACACACGGCCAATATCTCTCTCTGCATTGTCCGTGCTGTCTGTCGGTATGTACGGATCTCCGTATGTGCCACCCCCCCCCACCCCGGCATAAAAAAACACAGCGGTGGCATTTGTTCCTCGGCAAACATGTGGCGGTCCGTCAATAAGTCGCTAGTTTACTGCCTCGTGTCTTCTCTTTCTCTCCTCTCCCCCCCTTCCCCCACATCGCATCGTCCCTCCTCTCGCTCAAACCAGTGCATCGATAACCTGCGCTGCAACGGCCTCATGATGAACGTGTTTGAGGATAACTCCAAGATCTCCGTGCCGCAGATGGTCAGGTGAGGTGGGGGTGGGGGGATGGGTCGGGTGACGGCGGCGTCCACTGGCGGTGGTTAAATAAAAAGGGCAAGCTGGGGAGCGGGGAAGAAAAAAAGGGAGGTCAATTTACACGCGACCGCACGTAGCGAATCGTGAATAGCGAAGACCCGCGCGATTTCGCACGTGAAATCGTGAGAATCGGTTTTAAACTCTCAACATTTTATTTTGTTTGAACAGATAAGGCCTCGCTGAGGTATATACTTCTTTTTTAGAAGAGCCCTGGCGACAAATGATAGCTCAACAAAGTGGCTTAAAGTGTGGAAATGTATAGCAGCCAAATACTGCGAAGACGTGTTTCTAAATGTGGAGGATAAAACTGGAGGACCCGGAGAAAAATCCATGCGACTATGGGGAAGAGAGACATGCAAAATCCAAATATACAGGCATCAGGGTCGGGATCGATCCCACGACCTCCTGTATACATGGTGAGGTCGTGAACATCTCGATGGATCGATCGATGCGCCATCGCCGCATCGCGTTTCCACCCCCCCCCCCACCCCCCGGCGACGTCCAATCTCTTTCTGCCGGCGGGGGGGGCGATGGGTGACTCGGATAATGCGACGGATGTATTCGTTCATTCCGGGAGACCGCTTTTGGACTTTCTTGTTTGCGGCTAATGGGATGAAATTGCCACCACTTTCATGCCCACTCCAATTATATCCACGCGAGATGTGGATTATAGGGGCAATCGGAACCTTAGGAGTCACGGGTAAATGGGGCCGCGGAATAAGAGCAACCGCTGGTAATCAATTATCGGGATAACGGGGTTGTGGATAATAGGGGCCACAGGTAATGGGGAGTAACGGGGCTACCGAAAAAACGTACGAGTGTACAATGAGGCTGCGAACAAGAGAGGCTTTTGCGGACGGTGAGTCTGCGTACACGAGGGTGTTTGACCGTCCGCGCAGGTCGGACCGCAGCCTGTACTGCGACGGCGCCGACATCCGCTTCAGCCGAACGCTCGACTCGTGCAAGGTGCCCGTGATCCGCGCGGCGAGCGTGAGCCGCCTGCTCGAGCGCCTCACCGACCCTCGCTTCCTCAGCATCGACTTCCTCAACACCTTCCTCTACTCGTACCGCGTGTTCACCACGGCCACCGCGCTGCTCGCCCGCCTCGCCGCGGGCTACCGTCGCCCGCTCAGCGCCGTGCCCGCCAGGTGTCTTTCTTCGTGACGTTTGTGTGTGTGTTCTCTCCCCCTGTTTCTTCGTGGGGTTTCCTCGGGATCCTCCGGGTTCCTCCCGAGAGTGAAAGAGCGCCCCATACAATGTGGATCGGCGTCGGTCAAAACATCGACATGCTGAAAATTTACCTGCAGATCGCTCAATTGGGATCGCACAACCGGCAGGACCCTCGCGAACGAGAGTCTCGAGAGTCTTGAGAGACTCTCCTCGGCAAGCGAGCGCAATAAATAAACAACAACAAGAACAAATCGGCGTTGTCTTCGCGTGTGCGCGCGTGGCAGCTCGCTGGAGCTGTTCTTCTCGAGCAGCCTGCCTGGACGCCCGCACTACGGCGAGCCCCCCAAATCTCCCCGCGCTTGCCGCAAGTTCTCCACTCCCCTCTCCCCGACGTCCCCTCCGGGCGCCGTCATCGCCGCCATCGCCACGTCTCCCCCGCCCGGGACGAGTGGCGGCAGCGGCGGCGCCGTCATCGTCGGCGTGAGCGTCAGCGTCAGCGAGGCCCCCGTGGCCAGCGACACCGACGCGGACGCCTCCCCCCTTGCCGCCGCCCCCGCCGCAGCTGGCGCTGCCGTCTCCGAGCCGGCGTCGCCGCTCACGTCCCCCACGTGCCTCCCGGCCCCCGGCGCCATCGCGGGGGTCCCCTCGCCATTCCGCGGGCGCCGGAAGATGTCGCTGAACGCGCCTCTCATCCACGAGCCGCCGGTGCACGCCGCCCTCCCCCGCGGTGCCGATGATGCCGCTGCTTCCTCGGCCGGATCGCCCGACGGACGAGGAGGCTCCGGTACCATCTTCTTCTTTCTCTTCTCCTTTCCTCAACAAAGTGGATAATCACGTGGAAATTCATCGCAGCCAAATACTCTTAAACGTATGGTTAACTCGCGATCAGGCAGCTTTCCCTGAATCCCCCATTCACAGAGGAGGTGTCCGCATCTCCCGTGTGTAGTTCGCACCCAGGGGCGAAGCGCAGTTTGGTGTCTGTCGGAGCTTCAATCCGTGCCTTGTTCGGAACATCGCAGGCTAATCTACACGTAACTGGCCACCGGCTATCGATGTGTCACTCCCGGTTGACACAATTGTTGAGTCATGGTCACAGAAAGGTGTATTTGAACTTTGTCCGGTGGCTGGGAGGTGTGCGACGATCCGATGCCGTCGCTGTGATAGCTCTGTCACGAGCATTGCCCCATCCGCGTCGCCCTCGCAGGAGGAGGTGGTGATGCTCGGAGGTCGCCCCTGGATGCTGAGCAGCACGAGACGGGACCTCTGCGGTCCCCCAGCACCCCGCGCCACCGCTCCTTCCGCCACTCGGGTCCGTCTCCCCATGCCGGCCCGGGGACAGGGCCTAACCTGGTTTAGCTTGGGCAGGGCTTGACCTGGTTTAACCTAGGTAGGGCCAAACCTCGTTTAACCTAGGCAGGGCCTGACCTGGTTTAGCCAGGACAGGGCCTAACCTGGTTTCACCTGGGCAGGGCCTAACCTGCTTTCACCTGGGCAGGGTCTAACCTGGTTTAACCTGGGCAAGGCCTAACCCGGTTTAACCTGGGCAGGGCCGAACCTGGTTTAACCTAGACAGGGCCTAACCTGGTTTAACATGGGCCGAGCCTAAGCTGGTTTAACCAGGACAGGACCGAACCTGGGTGAACCTGGTTGCAAACTCGCTGGTCTCTTTTAATCCCCCCCTCCCATTCGCTGCCCCCCAATTACCCCTCACATTTGAATGTTGACTGTGTGTGCGTATGTACATTTGGGCACGAATGTGGATATGCGTGTGTGTGGATGTGGTTATTGGGTGCCCATTGTAAGCACGCTTCCTGCTGCCCTTTGCAGAGTTCCCCCTCTTCCATGTGGGATCGACAGCCGAGGTCGGGGGCGAGACGCAGGAGAAGATCCGACGGCTCTCCCTGGCTGGTACGCGAGTTACGCACACACACACACACACACGTATGGCAGCAACACCAGCCCGAGCGGCGGTGATGTCTCGGCACAGCAATTATGTGCACTTTGTGCCACGCTATGTGCACTTTGTGCCAGGCTAAGTGCGCATGAATGCGTTGAATGCTCATTGGAAGGAGGTCACGGCCCTGGTGTTACGCTTTGCCTGACTGAGATGACTGACAGATGCACGACCTGTGCTTCCGGCTACGGCACTCGCATACATACATACATGTACAAACACGTACACATATGTACACACACGTACACACATCCACACGTGTACAGCTTATGAAGAAGGACCATGGCTTGAAATATAAATAATTCCTTTTAAACCCGTGCACTGGACAGACGTGTTGAGTTTGGAGCCTGTGCATCCCTACCAACGCAGCGGCATCGCCAAACTACTGTGTAGTCAATCGGTGCGGTTGCCTTCCTTAGATCGGTTACATCCATCCCACCCACCTTGCCCCCCACCCCACTCTCCCCCCAACCCCCCCCCCCCCACACCCAGGTTTCTCCATCGCCGAGCACCGCATGCTCGACAAAGAGTTCATCATCCGGCGTGCGGTCACCAACCGCGTTCTCAACGTCCTGCGCCACTGGGTGTCCAAGCACTCGCAGGTTTTGTACCAGGGAACATGGAACATTGGGCCAATGTTGGGGAAACGTTGGGGCGACGTTGGGACAATGTTGGGCCGACTCACGTGCAAGCGTTGGCCCAACGATGGCATGTTTACCGGGGTGTGTCTGCCGGCAAGTGAGCTTGGCCATGCTGTGCCGTCAGACAGTGCGAGGATAAAATGAGCCTGAGAGCCCATCGAGGAGGCTCTCTTGCAAGGGTGTGACTTTGGTAAACAAGTAACAATAAAATCAGCCGATCGATCAATTAATCGATGCAGCAGCCAGACGGGCTCACTCGTGCAAACGACCAGACCGATCATCGGTTAAATTAGACCGACGGTCGGTCGTTAATTCAAGCAAGTAACGTTTATTTGAAGCGTTAACCCGGAGGAAGGCCTTGGTGGAGATTGTGCCCCTTGTTCTGCATGTGATTGGAAAGTTAGAGCAAATCCAGATCACAAACATGGGAGACAAACTAAAATATTCCTGGGATATGATGATAAATCACGAATTATAAATTACGGGTGACAAGCGGTGGCACCATGAACCCGTGGCCAGAGTTCGATTCCCGGCGACAACTAACATAAGTGGCAGCATATTCGAACCTGCCCAGGGCCACCCTTAAATGTGTACGTGGCGCGGCATCTCATGAACGTCAGCGCTGGGTGTAGGCAAAGGTGGCCAGGCATAGTGCTGGTCACACCACCCTTTTTTGTGTGTCGTGCTGACTTCATTAGGCGCTCACAAACGGTGCTGGCTTATATAATTCCTCTCTGCCACTTGTAGAGCCAAAATGCGCCACGGCTGTGCCGGGCCAGCACGGCACGGCTCAGAAGGTGCCGGGTTTTTTCCACTGCAGAAGCCGAGCAGTGCCACCAACGTTGCACGCAACCAACGCTTTGTTAACCCCGCCCCTAGCCCTGCTTGGCCGCACAGCTAGATTAAGATGGTATTGTGAGGCCAGCCTATCACGGCTTAGTTCCAGCTCGGCTCGGCATGTAGCCGGTGGAAAAAACTGACGCTTACCATGAAAGCGCCCCGCGCTGGCTCGGCTCGACTTGTGGCAGTGGAAAAAAACGTCTGTAAGTCGTTGTCTTTGTCTGTGGCTCAGGACTTTGAGTCGGACTCGGATCTTAAGTCGGCCGTGGTTCGGCTCCTGGAGGAGATCTCTCGCGACACGGAGCTCATCGGCCAGGAGCGCAAGGCAGCTGCCAACATCCTGAGGTGGGATGGCCCCAACGAAGAAGATGATGATGATGATGGTGACGATGATGAATATGATTACATGAGGATATGATGATGTATATGGTAATGAAGAATGAGTATGATGATAATCATGTTGATGATGAACAACATTGATGATGATAATATTAATGGTGACGATATTGGTGATGGTGATAACGATGATGGTGATTACTACATTATTAAGCTATCTTGTTGTGAAATCATACGTACGATAACAACAACAATAGTAAAAATGTGGTGGTCACATTGCATTTGAGCAATGCTTGCAGTTGCGATTATGACTGAAGCGTGCATCCCACAACGGCGCAGTTTTTTGCGATACAGGCGCGCCTCGCTTAATGAGCGAGATACATTCCGTGAAAATTGCTCGGTAAGCGAAAACTCCCGCCCCTCCCTACCCACCCGCCCGTCTATTACAAGGCTCCCCCCCCCCACCTCCCTCACACGGTGAACCACGTATGCACGCAGCACAGCGGTGCGTCTCCCTGTCACCACAAACCGCATTCAATCGATCGCTCGTTATGCGAACATTTTGCTCGTTTTGCGAACATATTGGTTTAAATTCAAATTTGCTCGTTTTCGCGAAATTCTCGCAGAAAGAACGCTCGTTAAGTGAGACACACCTGTGTATATATATATATTTAAAGATTGTTAGAAGTGTATGTACTGCAGGTTTATGGAGTGTGGGAGCCAGAGACCCTGTGTATCTGTGGAGGTGGAGCGGTGGTGACATTCGCTCGTGTGCAGGAGCCAGATGGATTGGGGACGCCGTAGGGAGGCCTTCAGCCAGCAGTGGAATGACCATGACCGATGATGATGATGCTTGACATGTTAACTAGTTTACATGATGGCCGTTGTGATGATGGTGGTTATGATTGGTTATATAACAAGGATGATGATGCTAATGGGTTACGCGATGGTGACGACGGTGCCAGAACCCTGACGCAAGAGGAGTCGGAGGACATCCCAATGACAGTGGAGCAACTCGCACTCACGGTGAGCATAAAAATCCTCTCTGATTCGCCGCTCCCTCCCTGGCCTGCGAAATAACTTATTGGGGTGATGTGGGCGCGCCTGTCTGCGTTGGTGATTTGTGTGCGTGCTTGCGTGTGTCTGTATGAATGCGAGTGTGTGTGTGTGCGTGCATTCTTGCATGCACACTTTGCGTGTGTTTCAGGAACATGTGTTTTACGTAATTATGTATTTCTGTTTACGTCTGTGTGTGCGCTGCGCTGTGAACCTGGCGACCCGAGTTTCATTCCCGCTCACCGTCAGTGACGGTTATCTGAACCGGTCGTGGGCCTCGCCTAGGTCGACTCAGCCTCAAATGATTACCCGGTGCGGTATGTAAATCGCCACTCGGGACACAAAAGGCGGACAGGACGTGGTGTTGGCTGCCCCCCCCACCCCCCCACCCCCATGTGCCATGCCGGCCTGCGTAGGTGCTGCTCGCAAATGGCACTTGCCCCAAAGGCCTGTCGAAGGCTATATGCGTTAGGATCTTTGTCTTTGCTGCGTGCGCTTGGCGGCAGTGCGAGGGCCAGCGCAGCGAGGCCTTCGAGTCGTTCACTGCGATGGAGCTCGCGGAGCAGCTCACCCTGCTCGACCACCTCGTGTTCCGCAGCATCCCCTACGAGTGAGACGCACGCACGTGCACGCGGACACACGCACGCGCACGTATGCACGCATGCTCATGTACAAACACGCGCACATGCACACGCATGTTGACACGCACGTTTGCATGTGTACACACACACGTGTGCCATCGCTGTGCCGGGCTGTGCTCCCTGCAGGGAGTTCTTTGGCCAGGGCTGGATGAAGCTGGACAAACACGAGCGAGCGCCGCACATCATGAGGACAAGCAAGCACTTCAACGAGGTTCGTGTCGCGACGAGCGGACGGCAGGCGAGCGGGAGGGCGAGCGGGGGGGGGGTGGGTGGACGAGCGGGCGGGCGGCGTCTCCCCCGTCGACCGCGGCCTACCGCTCGTGCCCTCGCTCTTTCCTCCAAACCACCGTCGCTCACAGCCGCCCTCGCCTGCGAGGTTTCCTTTGGAAACGAAATAACCACGAGCGTCGCTGCCCAGGATATATACGCGACAGACATTGTAGTAACCACGAGCTTCGCTGCGGCTTTTGGCTAACCATCGAACGAAGGTAGTCGCAGCATCGCGTGCTTTCTGATGCGCTTCTGCGGCCGTCTGGAAAGCTCTTCCTTCCGATATTGGGAAGCCATTGGGAGCTATGTACTTTTAAATCATCTCGATTGAAAACTCATTTGTTTAGAACAGTTTTTTGTGTTGAGTTTGTTTTCCTTCCCACGAACCTCCGATTAGCACGGTGGGCTACGTACGGTGCGAAAAAAATTCAACACGCATACATACGTTGATCGCGTAGGTGCCGAGCAACGCACAACTGAGTGCTCGCTCCTCTGCAGCAGCAACAGCAGCAGCAGAAGCTTGCAGCAGGTCCACCACCAGATGGCAGTCACTTTATCAAACACAACTAAGGTCCACTGAGCTATCAGAAGCGACCTGGCCACAAATGATAGCTTATTATTCGTGGCTTATGTGGAAATTAATCTCAGACAAATACTCTAACCGCTTATTTATAAATCTGGAGGGAAAAACCAGAGCACCCAGAAAAAAATTCACACGACCACAGGGAGAGAGAAAATAAAAACCCCAAATATAAAGGCAATGTTAGGGTTGGGATCGAACCCACGACCTCCTGTATTCCAGGCGAGGTAGTTAACATCTCCTAGCCACCATGGCACCAACCCTGGGAGCGGGTGAACCGGCGCTTATGGCCGCGTAACAGCGCCAGCGAAGGTGCGGTATGGGCAAAGAAGAGTTGTTCATTTCGTTTCTCGAAGTGAGCGAGCGTGTCAAGAGGGCCATGGCGTTGTTGACGGACGCGCCGAGCGTGGCAGTGCGTGAGCTGACGCCCACCCAACCCCCCCACTCCCCTTGCCCTCACCCCGTCCGCCCGATCCTCCCGCCGCTCAGATGAGCAACCTGGTGGCGTCGGAGGTCGTGCGCCGGGCGGAGGTGGCATCGCGCGCCGCCGCCATCGAGAAGTGGGTCGCCGTCGCAGACGTCTGCCGCTGCCTCAACAACTACAACGGCGTGCTGGAGATCCACTCGGCCCTGAACCGCACCGCCGTGTTCCGCCTCAAGAAGACGTGGCTCAAAGTCTCCAAACAGGTCCTCCTCCTCCTCCGTAATAGAGGGGTTTTTGTTTGTGTGTGGGGTTAGATCGCGTAAACGTGTATAAATGTGTCATTAAAACCCGCCGCCACCCAACACAGCCAACTCGTAAGAGGTTCATATTCTTGGTTCTTTCGGTGAAGTCACGTAGAAGGGAAATAAAAAAAAATAATATAAAACAATAAAATTCTCACGACGTTCCGACTGCAACACAAGCAATCATCATCAGGTGTGAAAACCCACAGCAAGAAAATTTGTGGGGTTTTTTTCCTCAAATTTTCTTGCTGTGGTTTTCACACCTGATGATGATTGCTTGTGTTGCAGTCGAAAACGTCGTGATAATTTTATTGTTTTATATTTGTATTATGTTATTGTTTCCCTTCTACGTGACTTTACCGAAAGAACCAAGAATATGAATCCCTGCAGTCACGAAAACTTTAAATCAAAATAGTAAGAGGTTAAATTTTGATTTAAAGCTTTCGTGACTGCAGTAATTCATAATCTTAGTTCTTTCGGTAAAGTTCACGTGTTGTTTCCCTTCAACGTGACTTTACCGAAAGAACTAAGGATATAGTAAGAGGTTGTCGCGTGAACAGAACGTGGCCAATTCGTCACTAGTACAGCAGAGAGCCAAGCCACAACATTTACAATCTGAGTACGACGTTTCGCCAGCAATTACAACTAGCTTCATCAGGCGACAGCCAGATATGTGGAGAAGTCCACCTGTTTCGTTCCTCCTCCCACCTCCTTCCTCCTCCTCTCATGAATCTCCTCCTCTCTCGTCCCCACCTCTCCCAATCCTCCACCCTCTCTCTCGCAGCACGCAAATCGCTCGTGTGAGAAGTCATGTTTATTTCGTATCTGTGCGTTGCGGGTAACGGGTTCACGTGACCCCTGCAGCCCACTAGCGGCCGCTCCGTTCACCTCTTTGGAATCAAATCGCGACCGTGAATCGTGACAATCCGTCAAATCGCCGTGGGTGAGGAGGGGGGGGAGGAGGTTGGTGGCGGCCGTGGTGGTGATTGTCGCACCCTCTGTTTAATCGCCGTTGACTGATCTTAGCAGGGCCTGCATGTCCTTTCTCTCTCTGCTCAGACTAAAACCCTGTTTGAGAAGATGCAGAAGGCGCTGTCGTCCGAAGGGCGATTCAAGAACCTGCGGGAGATGCTGAAGAGGTACCGTGGGGTCGCTTCTGGGTGGCACGACGCGTCGATTCACCGATCCGACGTCGATATTTCTGTCGCGCGCGGCGGCGTAGCGTGTGTTGGTGTGGGCCCGGGTGCTGAGGGATGAAACGGGCCCTCATCCCTGGCTGTCGCCCCCAAGTCGTCGTAGCCCGGGACCCTGGGCCGTGCCCGCTCGCAGGCCCCGGTGCAGCCGCCCTGCCTGCGCGCTCGACGGCCACGCCGCCGAGCTCGCGATACAACGCATCGGATCGCTTCTGTCGACGTGTAGTCGGTGCACGCGCTGGCGCTACGTGACCCCCATCGGGCACTCGGGGCGTGAACCGTGACCTTGTGTCTTGTGTCGCCTTGCTGAGCGGCGTCCCGGAAAACGGTGAACTGTGCCCGCCTCCGGGTGGGGGTGGGGGGGGGTGGGCGCACAGCTTGTCGGCCGTCGCCGCTTCACCGTTTGCGCGTGTGGGTGTGCCCCGCGGTGCAGCTGCGACCCGCCGTGCGTGCCCTACCTGGGGATGTACCTCACCGACCTCGCCTTCATCGAGGAGGCGACCCCAAACCTCACCGACGACTGCCTCGTCAATTTCTCCAAGATGCGCATGGTACTCGCCAATCGGCAACGGCCGCCACCGCCCATCGCCCCTCTTCCCCCCTGCACCCACCCCCCTCTTCCAACCACCCCCCCCCCCCCCCCCACAGACTCCTTCACCTTCCCACAAGCAACGCAATCGTTGCGCGCTTGACATAAGCAGGGGCCAGTCCAGCGATGTCACAGGCTCTGTCTGATTGTTCTCTGATAGTAACGTGACTTAAACGGCCTAGACGTGTTGCCTGGCGGTTTTTGGTGGTGGTGAATGAGACGTTGGCTCGCTTTCACCGACATTCTTGCCGAAAGGGAAGCATTCACTTAAAACACGCCGTTGGGCCCTAATTAATCAGGGTGTCATCCTGGCCCATCATTCCCCTGCCGTCGTTGTGAAGGACACGGCGACTGCCTTGAGCATGCAGAAAATGTAGAATCGGAATATTTATTTATACTGGAGGAATCCGATGAGCTGTAAAGCTCTTTTTCACTTATGAGGGCGAGTCACCGCCAACGGAGAGACACGTGCTGCCACGTCGCTCCGTTGACCGTTTTCGAGAGCCCACCTCTCGAAGCCCCGGGCTCGAACCCGGTGCTCCGAGCGTCGCGCTGGGCGGCTCAGCGGCTCTTGGCGACTTGAGCCGCCCGGAGAAGAACAGACGGTTGTGCTCGAATCAACGTTGCGCTGGGCGTCGTGCGTTTCTGCAGATCACCCACATCCTGCGCGAGGTGCGACAGTTCCAGCAGACGCCGTACAAGCTTGAGCCGGACCCCAGGGTACGCCGCCTCCCTCTGCCTGCCCCCGCCCCAACGCTCGGGGGCTCCGCTTCACGGAGCCCTGGCGTCTGCCCGTGCGTGTGCCCCTGTAACTGACCGCGCCTGCCCGTGCTCGTGTGCCCCTGTAACTGACCGCGCCTGCCCGTGCTCGTGTGCCGCAGACGCTGCAGTACCTGCTGGAGCGCTCGATGCTTCTGGACGACGACAGCCTCTACGAGCTCTCGCTGCAGCTCGAGCCGCGCCTGCCCACGTGAGGGGGGAACCGGGGGGGGGGTGGGGCGCGGGGGTGGGAGGGGCGGCCGGGAGGAGCCGCTCGCTACGACGGGGGGGGGGGAGGGGGGGGGCCCAACAACGACGCTTGTGCCGTGCGACGCCGCGCGATGGCGCGGGGCAGGATGGCGGGTGAACCAGCGGGATGGCGAGTGAGCGAGCTGACCGGTGAGCGAGTCGGGTGGATCCCGACCCGGCCACTCCGCCAAACGCGCCGCCGCCCTCTTCCACAGGACGACTTTGAGCTGAGCACTCGCTCCTCCTGCTCATCCTAATTCCATCTCCTCCTCTTCCTTATCGTCGCCTGCACGTGAAAATCCGACGTAACCAAAACTGTGCGCATGTATAGGTACTTGTGCACGCGTGCTGCCGAGGCCCTGCGCACCAGCTGATCGCGCTGGCTGCTACCCCCTGGCAATCGTAGAGGGGACAGATGAACCAACTGGCCTCGTGAGGCACCGAGAGTGAATGTCTTGCCATGGACGTTCGGAGGAAGTGGTTCGATTGCAGATCGATCGATGGCTCCACGTTTTAATGCTTTCGTTTGTTCGTCCGTTCGACCTCGCGTCCCACGCGCGCCGACCTTCCCGTCGGATTGCCATGGAGGTCAAAGGGCAATTTTATTGAAGGGACGTCTTTTTGCGGCCGGCGGGGAGGCCTTCGAATGCACAGGCGTGGGGTCCCCACCCCCCTTTTTTGCGGGCATTGAATGTTTTCGCTATTTTGTGACGTGCACAAATTTCAGGAGCGTCGGCTCAGACGGCCAAACGAGAGTCGCTCGCTGCCACGTCGCCCCTGGTGGATGGGGTGGGGGGGGGCACCGCTCAACGTCACCCAACGCAGGTTCGCTTGTCACCGGCGGTGGCGCCCGACGCCAATTGGTGAATTTCCACGAGGTGGGATTGTTTTTTTTTGTTCCTGAACGGCGTGGTTGTCGATTGCGTTTTGAGCGAAGCGCGGTGCAGCCCTGGCAAGGAGGAGGCCGCCTCCCGGAGCGAGCGATCGGTCCTGGCTCCAGCAAAACCACGAAGAAAAACGAAAGAATCAGACTCACGAGGAAGCACTGCGAATCCAGCAATACGTGTTTAGAAGCTATAATTACGAACCCACGGACAAGGGGTGGTGCTGTGTGTGTGTGTTAACCGGCCAATGGAGCAAGCGTCCGATCAATTTAACCGTCCTGCAGGAAACTTCCCCCGGCGTCTGACGACCCAGTCGTGGGAACACCTCTCTCTCTCTCTCTTCGTGCACGAACGGAGCGAGCGTGAGCGACAAAAATGTCTCCCAAACGCGCGTCGATGTATCCGTAAACATATTGTGAGATCCTAACCGACAGATGTGTGGGACACGTTTCTGGATAGGCATTAATGGTGGTGGTGCCGATGGCACTTTACCGGTGGTGGTGATGCTGGTGGTGCTGGTAGTGCTGTGTGTATGTTGAACTTTTTTCGCACTGTACGTAGCCAACCGTGCTAATCCGAGATGCAGGGGAAGGACAACAAACTGAACGCAAAAAGTAGTTACAAAGATGATTTAAAAGTGCGTAACTCCAGTTGCATCCTAATTTTGGAAGGAAGAGCGTTCCAGACGGCCGCAGAAGCAGCGCATCCGAGAGCACGCGATGCAGTTTCCCCGCCTTTGTTTGATGGGCAGCAGCCACAAAGCCGCTGCTGGCTGCGAGGATGACCGCAGTTCGCGTGATGGTGGGTGATGCTCCCCGGTGCTTGCAGCGGAACAGTTGAGTTGTACGTGTGCGAGATGGGCGATGGCAACACTTCATGTCTGCTTGTACGCGGCTGTTTAATGATCCTTAAAGACGAATGCGCACTTTTAAAGCGGGCCCCAACCTCCGGTCCGTCAGCCCCTGCACTCCCCCCTGCTCCTCCCCCCCCCTTCTGTTTTTGACTTGGATCATTGGGATCCGTTTTGCAGTCCGATTTTACGATTACCATAATGATCGTGAACGGACCGCCCCCCCCCCCCACCTCTTTGTGCGAACGATCGACAAAAATTTGCCCAGTCCAGATTCTGAAATCCGGCTCTAGCATGCGTCGCGTTGCAAGGGAACACAAAGTTTGGAGGAGAAAAATAATCATTTAGATGCACGTGGCATTATTTGCGAGACAGACGCCAGGGAGAAAGGAATCCTTTTGTCAAACGTTGGGATGTGACCCCGGGAGAATGATCTGGAATCACAAGCTTGAGTAGGATGATATTTTAGGGGCGGTATAAAAGTTGACTCCCCGCGCACACACACACACACACACCAGCGGATGGGATGAATTTTACGCAATTCAGGAATAGATTATTATTTTTACGTGCCGGCTAATGTAGCGGCCTCTAGTGGCTGTAGGGGAACGACCCCCACCCCCCCCCCCCCCGGAGCCCCGTTTACGCACACCGACATTGGGAACAGAAACACGTTGATTGTTCTGTCACGCGCCACGCGTCGTGAATCACGCGTGGCGCGAGCTAAGGGAGCCGAGGTTCACGGGGCGATGTCGATTCATCGTCCGCGCCCCCTCTGCTATTTTAACTCTTTGCAGCATTCAATGCAGGGATGGCGTGGGGGGGGGGAGGGGGGGACTTCCAGCCCGCGGGCCGGACGTGACCCGCTACTTCGTTTCACTCGGCCTGCAAGCGTCCTTGGCCGCGGCAAATCGTTCGTACTCGAGGATGCAGAACATTTTTCTGCCTGGCAATACCGACCGCCGCGTTTGTAAATTTTGCGCGCTCGGTCAACGTCTGCCACGGCCGAGGTTGACCGTCTTTGTGCCCGTTCTCGATGCGCGCGTTTGTCATTTCCCTCGGTGTCATCGGATAGCGCCCAGGGGGGGTGTAACGTCTGAATGCGTGGTGCTGATTTTTGCCCACGGGAGGCGTTTTGAAAGTCCCCTCCCTCCCCCTTCCTTTTTTTCCCTTTCTGACCCGCGGTCAGGAATGGGTCCCCCACTCCCGTGCAGAAGAGCTGAGCTGACGGTCGCGACGATTGTGTTCTTGGGGTTTTTAAAGCGGAAGGCTATGCAATTGTGGAGAAGCCAACACATTTTTTTGTATGCAAGGCCTCCATGAATTGCTTTTGAATTATTATCACTATAACTATAATTTACCCAGCAAAGCCTCAATGAGTCTCAGGACTTATTTTCACAAGTTTCCTGCTTTGAGCTCCTTGGCTTTTTGCATTATGAGTACACACACACACATTTATTGCTTCTTGTGCCAGTAAACCGGAGTGCCCAGAGAAAACCCGCCCAAGCATGTGAGGACACAACACTCAAACACACTGGATATCTTGCTGCCCGCCACTAACGCCTCCAACCCTGGCTGCGCCGGTAGGCGAGCGTCTGCGCCCCGCACACACAATCTGACTCCATCCCTGCATGATCCACCAACCCCTTGCCTCTCTGTGACCGCGTCGCAGGCGAGCGTCACTCGTCCACTTCGATAAAAAAAATACAGCAATGTTGAATCGATGCCATGCGGGTTCGCAGTCACCTTTTTCAGCCACGCCGCACAGCGTCGCGTACGCGACCACCATGTTGTTATCCGACCCTGACCGATGAGCCTGAGCCCACACCCAGTGCAGTTGTGCGACGGTCATTTCCTAGGGGTGTTCACGAATCCGACCTTGTCTCACACACACACACAGTAAACGTATCCCCCCCCACCCCTAACCCCGTGTACATTCGCTTACTTATAAATTACCGCAAAAGCATCCCCCCCTCCCCCCGCCCGTGTTCAATGCAGTCCGCGCGTTACATATGTATCCAGTGCAGAGCGTAATTTCCTTTTTGACGTTCACATACCTGACCCAAGCACGTGTCCAGCCCCCGGCGAGATGCACCTGCGACTTTGTAACCGCGAAACGAAGTCGATGGTTACTCAAGACGGCGATTTGTCAGAATCAGAATGTTTATTTAAACCGCATGAAGAATCCGATGAGATGTGAAGCTATTTCTCACAGATGTCCAGTCCGAGCGGGTAAGAACGTTGCGACAACAAACAGTACAACAACACGATAGGCGTGCAAGGTACAAGAAAGGTCAACAAATCACCCAAACACTCACAAATGAAACTAAACCATCCGGGCAGACAAGGCCCACTGAGGTATTGCATTATTTTTCAAAAGCAACCTGGCCACAAATGATAGCTCAATAATGTGGTGCATCAGTAAATGTACCCCCCACCTCCCCACCGCTTAAAGCTGGGTGCAGGGCCCAGCTTTGTACAATCTTTGTCTCTGGGAAAAGACCCCGCCGTGTCCTCCCTGCCCTCCCCTCATTCCCCTTGCAGCAATGAATCAGGACCAGCAGAGGGGAGTGTTATTATAAATATATCGGCCACGTTAAATCGATGGTAGGAATGAACAGTCCCGCTTTTCTTAAATCAAAGTAGAAGAAGAATCGTGGGCTCCACTGGAATTTTTGGCCCTGGACATATGCCCCCCTCCCTCCCTATCGCCCCCCCCTCCTCCACCCCCAGATCCAGCCCTGCACGGATGCTCTTCGCTTTGTGAACGTGCAACACGAGGCACGACATTGGCACCGCAAAACGCTGTTGCTCTTAATTGGAGTGATGCCACACGCTTTATTTCGGACCCCGTTTGTGAACCGCTCTGACCCTCGGTTAAACTCAGCGGAGGGCATCGAGAGGCATCGATTCAGCTGCCCTGCACCCCCCCCCTCCCCCTCCCCAAAGGCAGTATGCTTTGGCCACGAGACATGCACGTGGACTTATGATGAGTTGATGAGTTTGCTATACAAAGCCATATGCGAGACCAAGACGGGCCCTTTATATAGAGCATCGCGCAACGCTGCTCATCGGCGGAAAGGTTGCTCGTTCAATTCCCGATCGGGGGGGAGGGGGGGGGGGTCGACGCGGCCTATCGTCGCTTCTGACGCCGTAACATTGCGGACCACTTTTGTAGGAAAAGTCAAGATTATCTGCGGGTGTGGATGTACGATCGCTCCCGCCATGGGAACGTGGAATTGACG